CACCCAACCCCCACTATAGTTCTGTGGATGTGTGTTTGGGCTTTTCCATTAAACATAAAAGCTCTGCTTGGCCGGGCGTGGTGGCTCACGCCTATAATCCCAGCACTTTGGGAGGCCGAGGTGGGCAGATCACGAGGTCAAGAGATCGAGACCATTGAAACCCCATCTCTACTAAAAATACAAAAATTAGCTGGGCATGGTGGTGCGCGCCCGTAGTCCCAGCTACTCGGGAGGCTGAGGCAGGAGAATTGCTTGAACCCAGAAGGCGGAGGTTGCAGTGAGCCGAGATTGCGCCATTGCACTCCAGCCTGGGTAACAACAGCGAAACTCCGTCTCAAAAAAAAAAAAAAAAGCCCTGCTTCTCTGCAAAAATTAAAAATTAGCTAAATTGGTCTCCATGTACTAACAATTCAGTAGGATGTAAGGCCCCACATTATGATGCTGATAGTGTGTGAAGCACAAGCAGGCCAGTTGTGACTGGGGTGAGAAGGCCAAACTCAGCTGGGTGCTCCTAGCAATAAGGACTATGCCACCAGAATCACAAAACCCAGTCATTCATTCATTCAAAATATACTTATTGAGCTAGAAGTTATGCTTAGAGCCAAAGAAACAATGAACTAGGTGGGGTGCAGTAGTTCAAGCTTATAATCCCAGCACTTTGGGAGGCTGAGGCCAGTGAATCCCTTGAGTCCAGGAGTGCGAGACCTGCCTGGGCAACATGGCGAAATCCTGTCTCTACAAACTAATACAAAAATTACTCAGGCATGATGGTGCGCACCTATTATCTCAGCTACCTGGGAGGCTGAGGTGGGAGGATCGCTTGAGCCTGGGAGGTGGAGGCTGCGGTGAGCCATGATCATGCTCCCACACTCCAGCCTGGGTGACAGAGTGAGACCCTGTCTAAATTTAAAAATAGAGAAAGAAAAAAAGCCAATGAACTAGACAGATGAGGCCCTTACCCTTATAGAGCATGGCGCCTAGTGGAAGAATTAGATAGGTAAACAATCAGTTTTATTTATTTATTTATTTTAATTTTATTTTTTTTTAGATGGAGTCTCACTCTTGCCCAGGCTGGAGTGCAGTGGTATGCTCTTAGCTCCCTGCAAGCTCCGCCTTCTGGGTTCAAGCAATTCTCCTGCCTCAGCCTCCTCAACAGCTGGGACTACAGGCACCTGCCACCACATCCGGCTAATTTTTGTATTTTTAGTAGGGAAAGGGTTTCACCATGTTAGCTAGGCTGGCCTCAAACTCCTAACCTCAGGTGATCCACTCATCTCGTCCTCCCAAAGTACTGGGATTACAAGCATGAGCCACTGCACCTGGCCAGTTTTATTTTTTAAAATCACTTTAATCGAAAATACATTCTTAATGTTTAAATTTTAAAGATTACAGAAAAATATACTATGAAAAGTCTTGTCATGTCTAAGCCCCAAGTGCCTCAGTTCCCTCCCGACCCTTGGAAACCAGTATTTCTAGTTCCTAAAGCAATTTCTACAGTATGATCAATGTGATCTTGTGTAACTGGAAAAGCACAGGATGCCATGAGGACACACCGTGAGGCCTAAGCCAGTCTAAGAGTAGATGATTGAAAAAAATTAGCAAATGAGTGTTTCCCGAAGACCTCAATTCTGGAGAGGAAAGAAAGGAGGAAGGGAAAGGAAAGGAAAGAAGAATCACTAGCCATAGACAACCAGTGCTTTAAGCCCTAGCACAGCCAGCAGGTTGCCAGAACATGCTGTGGTAACAAGAGCAACTCTGTCCCCTGCCAGCCATCTGTCCAGACATCACAAGTTAATCAAGGCATCAGAAGTATCCTTGGGGGATGTGCCATGCTTAGCATCAGACTTACATGTCTAGAGCAAGTTTGTTCAATGGGCAGCCTGTGGCAGGACAGCTCTGAATGCATCCCAACAACTTAATAAACTTTCTCAAAACATTATGAGATTTTTTTTGCAATTTTTTTTTTTTTGAGACGGAATCTCACTCTGTTGTCCAGGCTGAAGTACAGTGGCAAGATCTCAACTCACTGCAACCTCCACTTCCCAGGTTCTACCAATTCTGCCTCTGCCTCCCCAGTAGCTGAGGCTACAGACGTATGCCACCATGCCCAGCTAATTTTTTTTTTTTTTTTTGTATTTTTAGTAGAGATGGGGTTTCACCATGTTAGCCAGGATGGTCTCAATCTCCTGACCTCGTGATCTGCCCACTTTGGCTTTCCAAAGTGCTGGGATTACAAGCATGAACCGCCACGCCTGGCCCTTTTTTTTTTTAAGCTTATCAGCTATTGTTCAGTGTTAGTATATTTTATATGTGGCCCAAGATAGATAATTTTTCTTCCAATGTGGCCCAGGAAACCCAAAAGATTGGACACCCCTGGTCTAGAACGTTCTGCCCAAATCTGCAAATACTTGAATACATACCAGACCTCACCCCCTGATTTTTGGTTCTGAAAAGAAGGGGCACTGATGAAACTTGAGTCAGGGGCTGCAGAGATTGCAGAGGGATTGGGAGAACTTTCTTCTTCTCTCCAAACTGCTATGACATTTTCTTTTTTTAAATTTATTTATTTATTATTTTTTTTGAGACATCTGGTTTCCAAGACATTTTCAATAGTATCTGTCACTAGAAAGAGAGTAGGGGAAGGAATCACCAGCCCACAATGTATCAGGCAGATATTCTCTCTATTTTTGAGGTTAAGAGAGGCTGAGTGACTTGCTTCAAATCTCCCAGCAGGGAAGCTGGGATTTGAACCCACATCTGCCTGGCTCAAAGCCCTCCACATCCATTGCAGCCTCTTGCTTCTCACAATATCTGTGATGCTTGAAGAACACATCTTCTCCTTCAGAGCCCCTGGGGAGGCCCACAATTCCCCTACCTTACCCTCATCAAGTGTCCCCAAGTTTCTGGGAGAAGTCATTTTACCCTTTAAGGTACCTTTCAAAGACCTAAAACAATACATTAAAACCCCAAACTCGACCAGGCATGGTGGCTCACATCTGTAATCCCAGCACTTTGGGAGGCCGAAGTGGGTGGATCACTTGAGGTCAGGAGTTTGAGACCAGCCTGGCCAATATGGTGAAAACCACTCTCTACTAAAAATATTTTTAAAATATCTGGGTGTGGTGACAGATGCCTGTAATCCCAGCTACTCAGGAGACTGAGGCAGGAGAATCACTTGAACCTGGGAAGCAGAGGTCACAGTGAGACGAGATCACGCCACTGCACTCCAGCCTGCTGGGCAACAGAGCAAGACTCCGTCTCAGAGAGAAAAAAAAATTTTGGTTTTGAAAGTGTAGATGGTGGGAATTCTCGCCCCTGGTCTGGGTGAGCTAGAGGGGAGAAGCAAGGACATCTAGGTCCCTATCAGCTTGCCTAGACAACTTCACAGAAAAGCCCCTGGGAATCTGAGATGGAGTAGGTGAACCCTTTACATCTAGATGGTGAGTCCAAAGGGGATATTCAAAGGGTTGCCTTCTTCCCCTTCCTACTGCTGCCCAAAGATTACCCGCAGGTTGAAAGAGCCCTTTCCTCCTGGAACAGATGTGGGCATGGGCTGTTTGGGAGCAGAATGGTGAAAGGAATTAACATTGAAGACAAAGGGACAGGCAGCCAAGATCATTTGAGGAGGAAAAATTGCTTCATTTTTAGGCTCCTTCCCCTTTTGAAACAGATCACTTGCATTCATCATATGCTCAGTGTTTATATGCAGAACTGCAGTTTAGCCAGGGAGGTCTCTTTCCTCTCCTGGGATTTTTTGGGCCATTTATGCATTACTCCTGAGGGAAGGCCAGTGCAGGGTAGTGACTTTGGGGTTGGTTAGAACTGAGTTTGAGTCTTGGCTCTGCTGTTATTAATATTGTGACCTTAGGCAAGTCACTTGATTGTTCTCCATCTCAGTTTTTTCATCTGGAAAACAGGTGAAAACAGCACTGTTGTGGTGATTGTGAAAATGTATTTCTTTCTTTTGTTGTGGAAAAGTATCTAATTCAAACTTTTCAAGTAAAAATATTTAGCATGTGTCTAATATATAGGAATTATTCGGGCCGGGCGCGGTGGCTCACGCCTGTAATCCCAGCACTTTGGGAGGCCGAGGAGGGTGGATCACGAGGTCAACAGATCGAGACCATCCTGGTCAACATGGTGAAACCCCGTCTCTACTAAAAATACAAAAAATTAGCTAGACATGGTGGCGCGTGCCTGTAATCCCAGCTACTCAGGAGGCTGAGGCAGGAGAATTGCCTGAACCCAGGAGGCGGAGGTTGCGGTGAGCCGAGGTCGTGCCATTGCACTCCAGCCTGGGTAACAAGAGCGAAACTCCATCTCAAAAAAAAAAGGAATTATTCAACAAAAGGTTTAATTCTTTTAAAAAACCCTAAAGCTGGTGGGGGCACAGTGGCTCACGCCTGTAATCCCAGCACTTTGGGAGGCTAAGATGGATGGATCACCTGAGGTCAGGAGTTTGAGGCCAGCCTGGCCAACATGGTGAAACCCTGTCTTTATTAAAAAATAAAAAAAATTTTTTTTAAAAACCCCTAAAGTTATAGCTCCAAAATTTTAAAAGAAAATTGCAAAATTAAAATGAATATTTAATAAAATAGCTACAGAGAGACTCATGTTTGCTAGTCAACTATAATTGAAGTCAACTCCTACATAGTTATATATAAATACAACATAATAAAGATTCCCAAGAATACAATGAACCATTTTTTCTCAATAGAGTTCAGAATTATAATTCCTTCACATTTTTTTAACAACAAGAAATGTATGTCCTGTATGGAAGTGGGGTGCATTTTGATGTGCTTGATATGACATGGGTCTTAGGAAGATCCTAAGGTGGTGTGAGGAACCTGGAGAAGGACAAGAGACAAAGTCTCATGGCAGAGACCTCTGCCCTCACCCCCTAGCTGCTCTGAGATTAAGACTATAGCAGCCAAGGCCTGCAGCAGCCAGCCATGCCCATAACAGTGAGGCCTCTCTGGATTTCTGTATCCCTGGTTTAAACAAAGGCCTGAGGGATGCCTGCCCAGCAAGCTGAGCCACCAAAGCTCTGGGGATCAGAGGGAACAAAGACAGAGGGAAAGAAGAGTGCTGACAGGGCCAGAGGCCAGAGGCCGCAGGGCTATAAAGAGGGAGGCCACAAAGCAAGTGGCACCAGATGGAGACCCAGACTGTGCAGCAGGAGCTGGGTGAGTAAGGCCCTCAGGGTGCCCTTGCCCTTCTTCTCCTTGCCCTGCAGAGACATGCCCAGGAGAGGGCTCAGTTCTCCTGCCTACTGTATAGAGCCTTCTAGGGTAGCTGGAGAAGAGTGGGGAACTCTGGGGGAAGGCAGCCTTCTCTTGTCATCCCAAGAGGAGTCACTTATGTAGCAATAACCACTGCCCTAGCAACCAAGGTTGGGGGTGGGCATGGGCCCCCAAGAAATGAGCACGGAGAAGGTATGGGGACAGGACCTGGAAAATGTTGCTTATTCAGACATTCAGAATGGAAAGATATATTACAGAGTTTACACACATCATTCCTGGGCCTGATACCAGCCAGATGGAGGGCCATGAATATCTTTCCTAAGTCAAGAAACCTGATATACAGATACACACTGGCCTGTCTTCCCTCTTCCCTTCCTCCCCGCTCTTTTCCTTCCTCTTTCTTGCTCCTATCCTTCCTTTTTTTACTCATCCTACCATCTTTACTGTCTACCTAACCTCTATGAGCCTCAGTATCCTGTGTAAAATGGGGATAATGATCATTCTTAATTCATAGGTTTGTGTGAAGATTAAATGGTGAATGCATGTAAAGCATTTAAAACAGGCTGGATGTGTAGATAGCCATTGATGAATGTTAACTATTACAACTCTTTTCTGTTTTTTTTTTCTTTCCTAGACAGAGTCTTGCTCTGTCTCCCAAGCTGGAGTGCAATCTCGGGTCACTGAAACCTCTGCCTCCCAGTTCAAGTGATTCTCCTGCCTCACCCTCCCCAGTAGCTGGGATTACAGGCGCCTGCCATGCCCAGCTAATTTTTGTATTTTTTAGTAGAGACGGAGTTTCGCCATGTTGGCGAGGATGGTCTGAAACACCTGACCTCAGGTGATCCACCCACCTCAGCCTCCCAAAGTGCTGGGATTACAGGTTTGAGACACCACGCCCGGCCTATAACTCTTTTCTTCTTCACTTTCCTTCAGTAAGTCTTTTCCAATGTCTCCTCATCCCCCATCCCAACATGTGCTTAGCACGGGGCTATACCAATCCCCCAGAAGACCCAGGCCTTGCCACTGAGGTGCTCACCAGGACATTCAACCAGAACACAGATCGGTACTGTGAGGAGTGCTAGAAATCAAGAAAGAAAGCAAGTGGCTGTGGGCTGGAGAAGGCAGGGAAGTCTCTGAGGAGGCAAGGTCAAGGCTGGGTAGGATCTAGGAGATAGAAAAGCAGAAAGGTGCCAGATAAAGATGAGACCATGAAGGGTTACGAGGGAGTTTGGGGCTTGGGAATCCTGGCGTGGCTGGCTGTTTGGCCAGTCACATAAGGGGTCTGGCTTAGGTGGCTGCCAAAGAGTTTCTATTGGGCACAGAGGCAATACTGTCACCTGGAAGCAAATGAGAGGACAGGGTCACAATGCTTGTCAGTGCTTTACCTGCATGATTGTTTCTGATCCTTACAATAACTCTGCATGTTGAAGCTTTACCAACGGAAAAACTGAGGCTCAGGCTGGGTGCGGTGGCTCACATCTGTAATCCCAACACTTTGGGAGACTGATGTGTGTGGATCACTTGAGGTCAGGAGTTCAAGACCAGCCTGGCCAACATAGTGATCCCCATCTCTACTAAAAATACAAAAACTAGCTGGGCATGGTGGTGCATGCCTATAGTCCCAGCTACTTGGGAGGCTGAGGCAGGAGGATCACTTGACCCTGGGAGGTAGAGGTTGCAGTGAGGTGAGATTGCACTATTGCATTCCAGCCTGGGAGACAGAGCAAGACCCTGTCTCGAAACAGCAACAACAGGCCAGTTGCGATAGCTCATGCCTGTAATCCTTTGGGAGGCTGAGGCAGGTGGATTGCTTGAGCTCAGGAGTTCAAGACCAGCCCAGGCAACATGGTGAAACCCTCTCTTTACTAAAAATACAAAAAAAAAAAAAACAAAAAAATTAGCCAGACGTGGTGGCATGTGCCTGTAGTCCCAACTACTCAGGAGGCTTAGGCAGAATTGCTTGAAACCGGGAGGTGGAGGTTGCAGTGAGTTGAGATCACGCCACTGCACTCCAGCCCAGGCGACAGAGCGAGACTGTCTCCAAAAGCAGCAGCAACAAAAACAAACCCCTGAGGCTCAGCTAGTGAGTGACAGAGCCAGAATTCCAACCAAAGTCTGTCTTGCAGACTTCAAGTCTCCTTTACCTTTTGAGGTATTTTCTCACCTCGCCCTCCTCCCCAGAGGCCATATCACTTCGGTGTACTCTGTCTTCCAGAAACCCTTCCAACCACCAAGATGGCTCAGACCAACCCTACGCCGGGGTCCCTGGGGCCATGGAAGGTAAGCCTACCCCCATCACATCCAACAGGGCAGGGGTGAGATGCTGCACAGAGCAGGCTCCAGGCCTGTGCTCATCCATGAGGCAGTGACCAACAAGTAAAATCCCAGTCTGTAGGGGAAGGGTCCACACAAGCTCCAGGTGCTGTCAAAGGAAGGATCTCTAGGATGTCCCGTTGGACAACAGAAGGATGACTCTGGACGCCAAGATGGGCGGGAGATGATAACAAGTTTCCTAACTCCTTTCTCCTCCCCGCTGCTACAATCATCTTAAAATACAGCAGCCCAGCAAGGATTATGTCCATGGAGAAAATTAGGGCCCATAAAGAGATTTACTACTAGATCCTAATATATCACTGGATTCAGCCTCCCAGCCTGAGGTTGGCTTTAACCATTGGCCAAAGTGGTTGATCCTCAGACCTCTCACTGGCCTCTCTGCAACACTCCCCACTCCCCTTTTGGGTCAACTCTGAGGCCAGCTCACAGCTTTGGGAGTGGTCCTCTGGTAAAGTCCATGAGCCAGGTTTTAGTTCAAAGTACAAAAAGGGTTGACCACAACTCTCCTTTACACTCTAGATTTTTATAGATGGTATGTCTGGAGAAGCTAAGAATCTATAGGAAGCTCCTGTGACTCCTAGAATCCTGGCCTCTGGGCCATGCTTATGAAGGAACTGTGGTGGAATGGGAATCCATAAGTCCTCGGCCTGTCCACTGGTCTAGCTATTATCCTTGGCAGACCATTCCTATCATAAACCATTCCCTCCTCCACCTCTTCCCTAGTCTGGGCATATGAACACCAACTAGTGGCATTAATTCAAACCCCTTCCTGTCCTGTCTACTCTGGAAGAGACCTCTCATCAGGCATCCCAGGCTACAGCTGGTGACAGAAAACACAGAGTCAGACACAAGTTAAGCTGCTGAGCTGGGCCTGTTTTTCCGGACGTACCAGGTTCTAGCTCTCTTGAGCCATTCAATCCCATTTCAGATAACCATCTATGATCAGGAGAACTTTCAGGGCAAGAGGATGGAGTTCACCAGCTCCTGCCCAAACGTCTCTGAGCACAGTTTTGATAATGTCCGGTCCCTCAAGGTGGAATGTGGCGCGTGAGTATGGACCTCTGCAGAACTGCAGCCTCTTATTTCAGGTCCCTTCAGACATGGGACCACAGGGTGGGGAGAGGGGAAGAGAGATGTTCCTCTAGGCTCTAATCATTTCTCGGAGAGAGGCCTCGAAAGAAGTCACTACATGGATAATTCAGTAAGCCAAAGCTAGAAGGAACATGAGGTTCTCAGTGGCTTGGTACTAGATTTTGGGGAGTGGAAAAAGAAATATATACAACGAGGTGGGGCAATGACAGTAATGAGATTTTTGCTTCTGGAGCTCACAGGCTGCTACCTAGGGTACCCTCAGAACACCTACAAGACCCTTGAGTTTTTCTTGCCTGCAGAAAATCGGCAGAGAAGAATTTGTCAAGTGGCTGCCTCTTTATGGCTAACTCTCCTCCTGCATGTCCCGGAGCAGACACTGTTAGCTAATTTCTCTATGAAAAAGGAAACCTCAACTCCATGACTCCAGAGACATGTTAGTTCCTGATTCATCCTTCAGGCAGTTTCTTGTTGATGGTTAATCTTGGTGAGGGAGACCCTCTCATTTCTGTCCTCTGACTCTTGGCAGGGTAGGCCTTTATCATCAGCCTGTTTTCAGGCTAAAAGATTCGCCCTTGACCTAGGTAGAACTGGCCTACATGTGAATAGGCTTCAACAAGTTGCTTGCCACCAAAATCAAGCTCTTCAGTCCTTTAAAACAAGTAACACTTTAAGGTGTCATCACTGAGACCCAATTGTTAAAAACTAAGCTGAGTGTTTCAATAAATTAAGCATAGGTAATGGGCCACTAGGTGAAAGAACTCACAAGTCATAGGAAAACAGAGACTAGTAACCCATCAGTTGCCTGTTCATCCGTGTGCTTTCTTAGGAAGAAGCCAACATGTTTGGCTTGAGCCAAAGCAATAGTCCAGGGGTGTCCAATCTTTTGGCTTCCTTGGGCCACATTGGAAGAATTATCTTGGGCCACATATAAAATACACTAACGATAGCTGAGGAGCTAATAACAACAACAAAAAGCTCATAATGTTTTGAGAAAGTTTATAAATTTGTTTTGGGCTGCATTCAAAGCTGTCTTGGGCCACATGCAGCCTTGGCCCACAGGTTGGACAAGCTTTCAGTAGTCAGTCACTAGATCCTGAACCAGGTAGAGAATAAGTGACTTGGAGAAAAAGAAAAAAAAAATTTTTTTTTTGAGACAAGATGTCACTCTGTTGCCCAGGCTGCAGTGCAGTGGGGTGATCACGGCTCACTGCAGCCGCCACCTCCCAGGCTCAAGCGACCCTCCCCACTCAGTCCCCTGAATAGCTGGGTCTGTAGGAGTGCGCCACTACCCTGGCTAACTTTTGAGTTTTGTAGATAGGCTTTCACCATGTTTCCCAGGCTGGTCTTGAACTCATGGGCTCAAGAGATCCGCTTGCCTTGGCCTCCTGAAGTGTTGGGACTACAGGCATGAGCCACCACACCCAGCCAGGAAATAGAATTTTAGATTGACTTTGCTAATACACTCCACTCAGACCAGTGAGGTAGATAGACATTTTCAGTGATAATCCAAAAACAAATTATCACATTCACAAACCTGCTTAGTATAGCTGTCAACGCATTCCTCACTTCTTGTGATAAATTACTTTTGCACACCTCTACTGGGATTGGCTTGATATTTTACCCCACTTATCTAAAACGAAAGATGCCTTCTCCCCAAGGCCATATAGGCTTTGAACACCATGAACAAACAACACTACATGTCTTTGGCAGCTGGATTGGTTATGAGCATACCAGCTTCTGTGGGCAACAGTTTATCCTGGAGAGAGGAGAATACCCTCGCTGGGATGCCTGGAGTGGGAGTAATGCCTACCACATTGAGCGTCTCATGTCCTTCCGCCCCATCTGTTCAGCTGTGAGTCTCTGCAATTTCCACTTCTGTGCATGTGAGGGATGGGACAAGAGGGTGTGGACAGACTGACATTAATGTTTCTCATCAGTTATGCTGATTGTGGCAGGCAAAAAGAGTTAAAAAAAAAAAAATGAAAACATTGCTTTCTCTTCTAAGCCTGCTATTTGATTTTTCTGCACCAGGTGGTATTTCCCTTAAGCTAAAAGGGTCTTACAGGTGGCGATAAGTTGATACTCAAGAGCCTGGTAAACTTGCAAAACACGAGTGAGTAAAAGTGCTTACCCTGTAGTAAAAAGTAAATCCTTACTGAGCAGTGTTTGAGGGGGAAAAAAAAGAAAAAGAAAAAGTAAATCCTTGGCCAGTTAAATTTCAATCTGTGTAACATTTTACTGCAGCAACAGGGAAATGCTGAAGTAACCTTTCAGTAAGTGGGAATGACCGAAGAAACAGGCAAGTCTTCCAGTATCTATCTACATTGATTGATAATAATCTTGTTCCTAACACTTAAGTATTACTCAATAATGCATCAGCCTGGGATGTTTCTGGTCTTTGGAAGAGTTCAAGCAGAAAGCAGAAAGACCTTGAAGCGTATGTTGAAAATGATCCCTGTATTAGGAGTGAAGCTGGGCTAGAACCTTTCCAAATATTCAGTCTGTATGTGAGTTTCTCATGATTTTGGCTAATAATCTCACCTTAGTCCAAGTCTTGCCAAAATTCAACTGGTGGAGAAGTTAACCTAACTAGCTCTAAACCAAAAAAATACTTCTCTATCTGGAAGTAATTTCAATCTCACTTTTAAAAACATTTCATTTGCCCACCCTAAGGTATAACTGACATACAGTAAAATGCACTGATCCTAAGTGCATATTCTCATGAGTTTTGAAAAATATATAGACCCATGTAACCATATAAGTAACATTCCATCATAGTTCCCTGGTGTCCCTTTCCACTCAATTGCTCTCTTACCACTTTGTATCACCGAACAGTTTTGTCTGTTTCTGAAGTTTATACAGGTTAGACTCTGCCTTTTTAATGCTTGTGTAGTATTCATTTCCCCTACTGGACACACAGGTTATTTTCAACACACACACACACTCAAGCACACACATGCATATTTGGGCTTCCTTTTTCTATTAATTTGTGAGATCTTTTTTCACATTAGTGAATATTAAGTCCCTTGGTTGGCTGTATCTTGCTAGTTCTTTTTCCCATTGTCAAATTCTCTTCATTGTTCCAAAATAGAGTATCAGTTATTTGTACATTCTATATGCTATGGTATTTAAATTGGAACAAAATTATGGTAACTTTTTTTCTTATAAATCTGTTGCCTTAATCTTTTTAAAATCAATGATCATGTGCATCCTTGTGTAACCCAAAAAATAGTGTTCCAATTTTAAAAAAACATAAAAGAATGACAGCCATAGCACTAGTATTAAACATTTTAAAACAATTTCTGAATTACAGAATCATAAAGAGTCTAAGATGACCATCTTTGAGAAGGAAAACTTTATTGGACGCCAGTGGGAGATCTCCGACGACTACCCCTCCTTGCAAGCCATGGGCTGGTTCAACAATCAAGTTGGCTCCATGAAGATACAAAGTGGGGCGTAAGTACAAAAACAGGGTTGGAACAGATTTCAAAGTAATTCCCTGGGGTTGCATCAATGGTCGTTTTTATCAGATTTCCTATGTATCAGTATGTCACTTTCTAGTTATACAGAATTTTAAATCTCAAGTTCTTTACACCAACTACCCCTGAAAGTTGCAGATTTTTTTCCCCAGACATGCCTCTAAGGAAGAATTTGTTTACTACTTACACCTCTTTTCAAGATTAAGGCTAATTAACTAGCTGTAGCCATATTAGGCTTACAAATAGTGCCTGACACATTTAGGATGGCTTTTTCTAAGCCTAAAAGCATCCGTTATCATTGTGTTGAGAAGAGGCTCAGGTTTTGGGGTGTTAACCAGATTCCTAGTTTTAATAATGCAATGTACTTTTAATTTCCTAGCTGGGTTTGCTACCAATACCCTGGATATCGTGGGTATCAGTATATCTTGGAATGTGACCATCATGGAGGAGACTATAAACACTGGAAAGAGTGGGGCTCTCATGCCCAGACTTCCCAGATCCAATCGATTCGCCGAATCCAACAGTAGTGGATTAAAACCTCCAAGTACGAGAATTCCTTAAGGCACGAAGCCTTGCTAAGCACTCTAGAATGAGTTTTATGTTCTGCTCACATTGCTTTCAAATGTTAGCTGCTGAAACCCACAATAAATGTCATTAAAAAAAAAAAAAAACTTTGTAGACTGAATTTAACTACCAGGCTTCACATAAATCACACCTATGTGGATGAGAATTTTTGTTGTTGTTGAGACAGGGTCTCTCTGTCACCCAGGCTGGAGTGCTGTGGTGTGATCTGGCTTACTGCAGCATTGATCTCCCAGGTTCGTGATCCTCCTGCCTCAGCCTCCTGAGTAGTTGGGACTACAGACACCTGCCACCATGCCGGGATAACTATTGTATTTTTTGTAGAGATAGAGGGGGTAACTGTGTTGCCCAGGCTGGTCTCAAACTCAGTCTCAAGTGATCCACCCATTGCAGCTTCCCAAAGTGCTGGAAATACAGGTGTTGAGCCACTGTGCCCGCCTGGATGAGAATTTTTAAAGTCAAGCTTCCATAAAACTCCACATTCTCTTTTGTGTCCTTGCAAGCCACTTACCAGGCCAAGGACAATTATTCCTTATCTCCAAGAATAAACCACATGACCTAAATGTTATCAATCTCTATAGTGACTGACACACTTTCAGTAAATATTTTTATGTCCTTTGTCCTCCCATCTCCTGCTCTTTCTTATGTTGAAGTTGGCACTGATTTTCCTTTCATCTTGTGACAAATCAGTACTAAAGAAACAGAAGTTTCTCCAGTGTGTACTGCCACATATTTCAACATTAAGTTATGAATAAATTCAAATCCACAATCTTGGCAGCTTAACATTCTAGTTGCTTAACTGCTTAGCTCAATTTTGATTTATTTCATTTGGAAGAGCATAAGGCTCAATGTCCTACAGAAATGTAGGATAGCTTTGGATTTTTCAATAAGCATGCCAATTCTAAGCACTGTAAAAACCTGAATGATTAAAAAAATATGTTTTTCTAATCATAGAACCACAGTACACTTGAGACTTAAATTCTTCATACATCTGACACTTTGGGGAAAAAAAATCATTATCAATGCCACAAACTTAGGTTTCAGTATTTTTTTTTTAACGTTTTATCAGCTGCATTTAAGATTCATCACTAAGGACTTTTTAAAAAAATTAAAGCACACAAAAGATAACAAACACCTCAGAAACTTTAAAATTTTTTATTCAACAATGTACACTTATTGTCTCTCAATTTGATCTACAAATTTCTCAAGTTTTTTTTCTGATAAAATAAGTAAATCTGGGTATGGTTGTAGAGTGTAATTTATATTTTTAAAACACTGAACATGAAGTAAGACATCAATAAAGGAAGATAATCATGTAACTGACACTTCCTCAGAATCCATGACATCAGAAACAGCTATAGCAAATATCTAAGCATTTAGCAAAAGGGCAAATTTCTGGTCACTGTTCTTGTATCTATCTTTTTGACTGGGCAAAGCAAACATTGAAACTTTTTTTTGAGAGGGGGAAGGGAAAACATCCTTTAACATACCTGTACTCCACTTACTATCCATTCCCCTAGATTAAGAGGTAACTCAGCTCCTAAGTGCCTCTGCACAAGACAGAGAAATTACTTTGCTCTTCCAATATATTCTAAGGCTGAACACAAGTGTACTGACAGATGCAAAGAGGAACCATAGCCATCCAAGATGATGCTTGCTACATGCTTGCATTTCTGCCTTTTAAGGCCATGCAATTATGGGTCACCTTTTGAGTCTTAACTGAACGACTTAGTTTTTAACTTCCACTATCAATGAAGATACATATAGAAGGGTTTTGCTGTGTCCCCAAAGTCAACAACATACTTGAAGAAGTAACGCTCTTCTATATATTGAAAAAGCTATAAAATGGAAATATTTATTTTATATGTAGGAGCATGGGGGAAATGCCATCAGTAATATCTTCTACTTAAACATATTAGCCTCTCCTACAAAGGTCCTGAAGCAATGACAAGAAAAAAAAAAAGACTTTATAAATACACACACACACACACACAAAGTAAAGCTATTTAGTACATGCAGACTGCAGCACTTGAACCAATTTCTAAACTTGTTCTAATCAGATACACATTTTTGAAAAGATACACATTATCTTTAAAACAACCTGTGCTTTGATCTTACAAACAACAGAATAATTTTAATCTCAAATTAGTCATTCAGTAAACTAATTTATGCTAAAGCAATAAAGGTAAAAAAGACTATCCTACCTTTAAACCAGCTTTAAGACATAAAACTGTCACCAAATTCCATGTGACAAAGGTCTTTCATTTCAGTTTGAATTACTTTCCATTTCTATTTGATCAAATAAACCAAAATATTACTAAGGAAGAGCATCCAATGATTTGTAAAGCTGATAAAACTGCCCTGTTTCAAGAAAAGCCCTTTAATAGATACAAGTCAAGCTCTCATTTAAACTGAACTTTATTAAAATAGGTGCCAGTTTTCCTCTCTCCTAGTTCCACTGATGAGCTAGCCCAGAATGATATAACTTTAAGCCAAGTTTCCAATGATGGTAAAGCTAAGAACAGCAAAGTAATAAGGACAAATAGGTCACTTTTGGTAATGACACACAAATTAAACTTTCAAAACATGTGCATAGCTTTATTCATCTACTTAGATCTAACCTTTCCATGGAGCTTCAGCAAAATTCGAGTGTGCAAAATGCATTTCTAAAACGTAATGCAAGCAAAGCTTTCACATTTACACTGGCAGGAAATACAGAGAGAAACTAACAAGTCACATCAGGGAGAATTCAGGTTTTTTTTTTTAAATGACAAGAATTGCACAGTTTATTATTTTGAGACAATTGTTGCAGACATAAATATTTAAAATTTTCTAAGCAAGGTGCTGTTAACAACAAAATTTTTTAAGTTGGAAAGAGCTGATAACTTGGATCATAGCTCACACAGAATTCCAAATTAAAGTGGACTTCATTATCTCCCTACATTTTGCAAACAATGCTTTGTATAACACTTCTTTAAAACACTAAAGGAGACAGCAAGCTGAAACTTTTTTCAAAGCACACAAAAAATGGTGTCATCACATTACTTGAAGAAGGTGCTGAGGGGAGAAGGGAGTGAAGAATCCTTTTACTATTTCCCACTACAGAACAGCCACTAACAGACTAAGAACAAAAAAGATACAACAAAAAAAGTAAATCACTTCCCCAGATTATAAAATAGTTCCAGTTTGACAAGATCTATAACCTTAAACAGAGCACCAGTTGGGCAACAGAATGAGCATTTCATAATGCATAAAAATTAGTGAGGTGGTAAGAACCATCAACTATCTCAGGCATTACTACATGGCCTTCCCAATTTTTTTTTTTTTTTAATATCCATGCAAGGCACATTGATATAAAAATAGACCTCTGGCCAACAAATATATTAAATAAGCAAATTAAAATTTTGGCTTTGCAATAATATTGGCAACATCAAAATATAACCAGATAGCTTTGGCCCACACATCCTTCTTATTCCTCCACCTCATTTGGTGTTTCCCACCCATTATTTTGAGCTCAATCACCTTCAAGTTTGGGTATGTGCTTGAGAAATGACTTTTTGTCAAGTAGCATTCTTACTAAAGTTTTCCTTTGCTAAGTAAAAATATAGAAGAGAAACAGAATAGTTGGAGTTTTGATTGATTTGATTTAAACTAAATCTGATTGGTTCAGGGCAGCATTATTTCTCCTCTATATACAAACAAAAATAAGTCCCCAGCTTACATAGACAAATGTTTTCTAAAAGATCAGCAATAAATCAATGACACTAAGTCCTTTAAGCCATTCTTCTCAATTCCTCTTTCTGAGGCAGAGAGAGGGAGTAATAGAAACAAAGCTAAGATTTAAACTATTTTCAGTAGTAGAAGACATTTAAGGCCAAAATGTGTACTATTAACAGAATTCTTATGTTCCTAAGTTATTGTCCTTCATAGGCCAATACCAGCTAAGAATTAGTTACTTGTACTGACTCCCTCCCAAAGAGAATTTTATAATCAACTCACTCTTGTTAGTGGCTGTGCTACAGGAAAGGTATCAAAGCAACCTATGGTATATGTATGATATATAGTAATGTAAAAAGTGCATCACATTCTTGATTTTCAGTTTCTCATAGCAGCAGCAAGATTAATCTAAGACAGAAAACAGTTGTATTTTCATTCTTAAAATGCAACAATATCTAATGAAATGTATTCAAGATCATGAAAGGATCCTCCTCTATGAAGGATAAATGAACACAGACTAATAATAGACAAACGGGTAAACTAAAGCCATTCATTCATATTTACATATTAAAACCACTTTTGTTAACACCAAATCTTTACATCTAACAAAAGAAATAAGCATTTTAAGAATAAAACAGACATTACTAAAGCAGTATCCATTTTCAGAGCCTTTGATTAGCACCTGAGGAAAAAAGGGTTTATGGAAAGCTATATAATTTGTCTCAAGTTAGCTTGTTGGTCGTAAGAGTACAACTTTGATATGCACTGAAAGTAAAACTAAATTGGAAAATAAATGTTTGTAGCTGTTTTAATAAGGCTGTAGAAAAGGGATACTGGCCAGGCGTGGTGGCTCACACCTGTAATGCCAGCACTTTGGGAGGCCGAGGTGGGCAGATTGCCTGAGGTCATGAGTTGAGACCAGTCTGGCCAACATGGTAAAACCTCATTCTCTACTAAAAATACAAAAAATTATCTGGGTGTGCACCTGTAATCCCAGCTACTCGGGAGGCTGAGGCAGGAAGAACTGCTTGAACCAGGGAGGTGGAGGTTGCAGTGAGCCAAGATGGCACCACTGCACTCCAGCCTGGGTGACAGAGCAAGACTCCATTTCAAAAAAAAAAAAAAAGAAAGAAAGAAAAGGGATACTGCATTATTATAAAATGAATATAGCTGTTCCTTAGTTTCTAGCCCATAACTGATTTACCATTCCCAGTAATGCAAAAGCAATATACCAATCATGCTGCACTGGGTGTTCTTACTATGCAGACAACCGAAAATTCTATTTGCACTATTGTTGGCATCCTTTTAACTACTCTAAGATCTTTCTTGAGCAGCAAAATGATGTGAAATTTAATTTAAAACTCAGTAAAGCAATGCTTTTGAGTGGAGCTAATGACTCATCACTCTCCCAGGTGGTCCTGGTTCTCACACAGGTAATGTATATTTTAAAAGAAACATTTATGATACCAAAACAGACCATCTTTTTCACCATGAAAGAATCCTGGTGCTCTGTTAATTACATTAATAAAAATAACATCGATATTAAGAAGTAATGTTAAGCTATGTGTCGCCTCTGGCAAGCTTAGAGGAGCTATTTATGCTTCTAGTCTTTTTTCCTCTGCCTTTCCCTTTTAAGCAAAATTTTGTTGGGGGTAAGGGGAGAAGAGCAAATCCTACTTTTTTCTTTCAACTCCAACAATTAAATCATGGATAGGGTTATTAAGATACTACCCTATGATACTCTACCTTGACTGGTATGGCCATCAACCGATCTGACCCTAAAGACCATGTGTCCTATAGCATAACTGTTCTGCACAATTAACATATTTATACAAGAGGGATCAGCTGTTATTTGAGAATGTAGCCCAGTGGCATAACTATACTCATAATCCCTGGAAATTTGACTTTCAACCTATTTCTCTAGAGAGCCTAGCAGGAATGACTCCCTTCTTATTTACAGTGGAATTAGCCATTTGATATATGACAACTTCACACTAAATGGCTTTTTTCTTTAAAAAAGTTTACAGCAATTACAAAAAAATAAAACAGATGCTTCTGATGTGGGGAAGCAACAATCCTAACCACCATGAATGAAACTAATGCTGCTATGTTATGTTTTTTGAAAATGTTGTATTGTGGACAACTCCCAAGGCTGAGGTTTGTCATATTTTCCCTAAAAACTGTTATGTGTAAAAACAATGCAGCACTTTTCCTTTATGAAGTTTCTGTAGATTGAGTAATGACTAGGTAAGCAGATGAATAAGGAGACAGCAAAATTCTAAAATGTAGAAACTCTCTGGCCATTTATTTCAAGGAAAAAAAAACCTGTCACTAAATTCCTAGTTATTGGCTATCCCCTCCTAGAAAGTAGGAGGAAGGGCTGGCTACTATAGATGCTGTAAATACACTTTATGTGAAGGTTCATTACTAAGGAGGTTAGAGCAAAGGCTATGTAACTAACTTCAGTTCAGCAAAGTGGGGGTGAATAAAGAGAAAGATAAATACACCCTGTGTATTTTGCAGGAAAAGGGGATTTAAGACACCTACAAGAGTGGTATGTGACACAGAAGCCTACAATAATCAAAACAGATTTAAAAAGAAATCTTTACCCATAATTAGTATCTTCATAGCTATTAAAAAAATAGGTCATAATTTCATTCTTAGTGCCATTTTTCAATACTACCCTTTTAAGGATTTAAACCACCTGACTTTTTTCTGTGTAATGAAAACAAATGGCACAAAATAAATACAAGTTCATTCTCTGAATACTAATGTCTTATACACATTCATTTACTAATTTTTAATATCTCCATCTTTCCCTCACACACTCAACACACACATACACACATGCACACACACAAACACACACACACCCCTTTTTCAGTCTTTATAATGGAGGGATATTAAAAATTCCCTCTAGACTGTATTTGGTTTATGCTACAGTACTAATACTCTGAGTTGAAGGAAAACTCTTTAGACCAAACAATAACACACGTTATTTAAATGTGCTAAATTAATCACAGCTGAAGTTTGTTTAGAAGCTTACACAAAATAATCAGAAAACGGATCGACTTAAGATTTTTTTTAATAAGTGCTCTGTAAGGAATTGTGTGAGGACCTAAGGAGAAAGATTGCAACAAATAGAGTTAAGTGTTACCAAACAGCACAAAGAGATTTGTCCCAAAGTCCTGCTTGTACCTAGGCAATTAAGTCTATTAACCTAGTGCCCCCAAAATACTGACAGTTAATATGATGGGGCACCAGGGTTCTCAGAAAGTTAACAGACATTCCTAACTATATACCTCTAACCATATAGTCAAGGAAATTCCTGTGGAGAAATCAAAGTGAAATGTTGCATTGTTTTATTTAGAAGTAAGACTCTCAAAAACCTTTGGACAGACAGAGAAGGGATACATTCTCTTTTTGGCTTCTCTGAACACTGAGGCCTGAGGGATATGGGAGGAAATTAGGAAAGCAATAGCTTTCTACTAAACATGTTTAATCAAGTGTTGCTTCTAAGTTAAAAAGCCCAATTCGGGTGGAGGCTGGGTTTGGTTTTTGTTTTTCCTTTTCAAATATATTCATTCAACCTCTGTATGTCACAAACCCAGAAAGTTTCTTGTGAGTTGTGAGACAGAACTTTAAAACTGCAGGCAAGCAAAATGGACATTTAAAAAGGGGGGAGTGGAGAGGGGAATCTGGCCCTAAGGCGACAAGTGGTTACACAAGGCAATTGAACACACAGCAGAACTTTAAAACCTGTAAAACAAACTGGAGCCTTTTTTCCCTTTAATCAACCTTCTATGTCTTTTTTTTTAAACTTTTTGAAAATTTTTATTTAAAAAAAAAAAAAAAAACACAAAAACACAGACTTTTCACTTCAGTTATGTGGTATGTTGCATTTTCCAGTTTGTTCAATGCTTTAAAGCTCAAGGATGCCTCTGCTTTCAATTGTACATGGGCCTGAAGCATCCTAGCTTTTGGCAAGCAGGCAGGAGACTCAACAAAAATCAAAATAGGAACAAGGCAGACTAAATGCAGGGCACATCTGTAAACATATTATACATTTGAAAATTACAATATCAGTAAAAGTGATACAGTTTACAGGTGAAATGAAACTATCTGGAACTGGCCTACCACAAGTTTCTGAACCTGGACTGATACAATAAGTTATTATATATATATATATATATATTATGTATAAAAAAAAGTTTTGTTTACATCAAGTGGAATTGGCAATCCATGCTCATACTTTTAAAATCTAAGCAGGGCAGAAATCCAGACTAAAAAGGTATTTACTCTATGTGAGTCCAACAGCTTCTTTCATGAACTACTTGTTAAAAGCCTCAAATAATCAACAAAACAAGAAAACCCATCCATATTACAGTCACTCAAAACTGGACATTTCTTAAGCAAAGGGGTAGAGCAAAAGTAGTTACTTTCTCCCCAAATACCCCAGGGGATCCAGTCTACTTTTATCAGAAGACTGCAATTCTTTATATAAATGCCCTGCTATTTTAACCTGTATTTGACAAACATGGATATACTAATTTCTGTGTGTGTGATGTGATGCTGTGTTAGGCCAGACAACTTGTTTATTATGCTACTAACATCACCCAATCTCAATTGGACCCTTAATTTCTGCACACACACACACACAAATTTATTTTAGCATGCTATACACAAGCTGCAGTGCAACAGGATGGCAATGTAATAAGACAGGGCTACTGCTCTTCTCTGCCCTGAAGAAAATTTCCAGAATTTCACATTATTTTTCTTAAAAACCCATTTTGCTCTAGTAATAAAATATATTTATTAAGATATAATTAGAAGCTAATAAGCTCAGAAGTATAGCTTGCATGAAAACACACCTTCTATAGTCAGGGTTTAATACCTTCTCACTGGCTAAAAACACAAAAAGTTTTAAAGTTTTCATTTCTTCCCCTTTAGATTTTGCTGAGAAATTAAAAGAGAATTTACAGAAAGGTGTAAGTTTGTCTTAGATGTTTGATGAAAAACAAGGAAAACAGCACATTTAGTGTTAGTGACAGAGAGCAAGTCTGGAGCACCTACAGTTGAAAAGCAGAATATATTTTTGCTCCCAGTCATACAATTACATTAAAATATGGGCACAGGAATATTTTTCCAGATAGTATATCTAAGCCAATTGCTTGTTCTGCAACTTTTCTTTAAATGACACGCATGGATTCTTCAGTTGTTAAAGTCCAATATGTAACCAAAGCCATGTTAACTATGTACCATCAACTATTCCAGAATTGTAGAACTTCAATGCCCTCCCCAATCCCCACCCCACAAAAAAAAAAAAAAAAAAAAAAAGGAAAGAATTTCCCTAACACCCCACAGAGGCTGCTTAACTCCTGACAAGACATGCAAATCATATTCGCTAAAAAAAAAAATACACCCTGCAAACTTCAAGGCATTTATCCAGCATTCTCGCAGGGCTTAAAGTAAAACCAAAAAGATCAAGGGAGGACTGGGGGGAAAATGTTGAATCATTCTGGGTTCCCCATGATTAGTGTATCACTTTAGTCACAGAACAAGATAGAGATCTTTTGAGTGGATTTGCCTTTCCAGTGGGTCATTTGTTGCCCAAGTTGATGACAGCAGGAACTTTAGAACCACACTTGTTAAGTCCGTATTCATTAATCACTGTGCATTCACACTTAAAAACAAAAACTAACAAAAGAAAAAAAAAACCTATTCAGTACCGGAGATTAAATAACCATGTGTAGTCTCTTGAAATAAATTTGATTCCTTAAGAAGTCTAATTACTTTCAGTTGCCTTTTTTTAAATAACTATATATATATATATATGTATATATATATATTTGTATATATTATCCTGTGATTCTACTTATGGTTCCTCTGCTGCGTTGAAGATCTAGGAGCATAAAAGCCTTGTGTCCCCCATGAACGGTGGCTCTAATGCTGCAGAAAGGTTACGAATAGGCAGTCTGGTCCTTCATTGATCTGGACTATCCATGGCTTCATTGTAAGTGATTATCCTTTTGGGATCTAGAGAGACGATTAAAAAAATAAATAAAAATAAGGTCTAGAATCTCAAAATGCCCATGTTCCAATAACAAATCCCAAATAACAATCACTTAAACTGCCCCCCTTTTTTATGAAAACAAAACTTCAAGCCCATTTCCTCTTTGTATTAACACATGTATGATCCAGTTTCTCAATTCAAAAGTAGTTGTTCGGAATTCCAATGAATTCCAAGTACCAGGTCCTCTAGCCAGTGATGGCCTCAATTCCTAAAGATCAGAGGTGGTTGGGTCCACTTATTAAGGGTTTTATGTACTTCTACTGATTACAAAAGCAGTGTAGTATTTGAAAACAGCAACCACAGAAAAAAACCTTGTCACCAATAATCCAATAGTAAAAGAAACACTTGGGATTTTTCTTTTGCATTTTTCAGCAAATGAAGTCAAAATTTATTTTAACCAGTGTGGATTGTCTAACAAAGAACTATCTAAGTAAAATGTCTCCAAAAACTGGACAATTAGAGAGCAAAACTATCAATTCAGTCCTAATTAACACTCAATTTCCCACAGTAACACATGTCTTAATTCTCAGCAGTAACAAATCTTTCAGATTCAAAACTTAAAACTGTTAGAATGTGTCTGGTGGGCAAAGACTCCACGGTCATTCTAAATTCTTACTATTTAGCTGCATGCTCCCCTCTTCTCGAGGGGCCCTGTCTTCATTATATATATATTTTTGCTACCTATTCTAAGAACTTTTTGAAGTATACATGCTTAAAAATAAGGGGGTAGGGCAAATCAATACAACTTGTCACCTAATGGAAAATTTTAAAGGCCTGGAAATAATATTGGAAGAACTCAGTCTACTTCAGTCTAAGAATCAATCTAGTATAGTCCAGAGATAGCAGCCTGCCATGAAGAACATGCTCACTCCTAACAGTGAATGGCCATTTTACAGTAAAGACAGGTTAGGTATACTTCGCAGAGTATATTTTCTTTTCTTTCTTTCTTTTTTTTTTTTTCCAGACAAAGTTTTGCTCCTGTTGCCCAGGCCAGAGTGCAAGGGCACAATCTCAGCTCACCTCAACCTCTGCCTCCTGAGTTCCAGTGATTCTCCCGCCTCAGCCTCCACAGTAGCTGGGATTACAGGTGTGTGCCATCACGCCAGGCTAATTTTGTATTTTTAGTAGATGGAGTTTCACCATATTGGCCAGGCTGGTCTTGAACTCCTCAGGTGATCCTCCACCTTGGCCTCCCAAAGTGCTGGGATTACAGGCATGGGCCACCATGCCCAGCCTGCAGGGTGTATTTTCTAGTCTATGTTTTTTTCATTTGTTTAATAAGATACACGGAAAGCAACTCCTGAATAAACAACGTTGGGAAATCAGGGGAACCTACATCCTAGTCCTGCCCCTGTCTAGCTTATAGAATCTCACTAGGCTTCAGTTTCCTAATATGTAAAATAAGAGAATTTCTTACACATTTGAGGTCCTGAAATTCCAGAAATTTCACATTCATCTGAAATTCATTTATATTAACTACTAAAGCAAATGAGGAGTAGGATATAACTCAGTTACATGGTTCTGAAAACCCAAATCTATTGTCAGTGACTACTATAAAACTCTTACTTTATTTCATGTATTCCACAATAACCATATCTTAATATATTCAGGAAGAAGGCACACAATAATCAGGGTAATCAATTTTAATTTCTAACTATCTTTTCAGAGAATATCCAGCCCAGATAAGGCTCCTATAATAGCTAATATTTTTCTGAACTATGAATTTCAGTTCTTAGGCTATTTGTTATTTACCATACAAATACACAGAAAGACTAGCGAAAAGTGTATATACTTACTCATGTTGGTTTCCTACATTAATAACATTTATGGCTTGTCTTACTTTCAAAACCAGGAGGGGAAATAACAATACAATGATTCTTATCTTTAGCAGGTAAAGAAGACTTTCATCTATTCTTTTCACTTACAGTATTGCCCCATCCTCAGCAGTCATGTTACGGTAGTGTCTTTTTGTTGCTGCAGTTTTTTCTTTTTCATATTCACCTCTTAATAGTATCACATTATTTTTCTATTTAAAAAATAGAGACAGGGTCTGGCTATGTTGCCCAGGTTGGTCTTGAACTCCTGGACTTCAGCAATCCTTCTGGCCTTGGCCTCCCCCAAAGTGTTGCAATTATGGGCATGAGACACCCTGCCCAGCTGCTAGTGCCTTTTGATTGCAGTCATTAAATAACTCAAAATACAAAGTCTATTTGGTAAATTACTACCCATCTGTTAATCCCACCAAAAAATAATGTCCAGTGATGACTAATTAGTGACATTTTAAGTAATATAATCTTTCTTACCTTGCTTCTGCAAATTCCAAATAGATTCCATTTCTGCAAAGAAAGAAAGAGAATTACATACTAAATTTTGGTGAGCAAAGTCTGAAGCTATGCTTTTCATTTTAAATCTAAAAAATCCTAGACTGCTGCCAGGCTGGAGGTAAGGTTGAAAATGGCAAAATTCTATGAAGCTCAAACAAAGCATTTGCATTTTCCTCTAATTTTTATTTTTTTAAGGGACAGAACAAGTGGCACAAACAACTGCAGCCTGAAACTCCCTGGCTCAAGCTGTCCTCCCACCTCAGCCTCTCAAGTGCCTGGGACTACAGCCATATGCCACCACACCCAGCTTTTTTTCTTTTTTGGGGGGTAGAGACAGGGGTCTGTTGCCTAGGCTGGTATCTTAAACACTTGACCTCAAGTGATCCTGCCTCAGCCTCACCAAGTGCTGGGATTACAGGCGTGAGCCTGGCTCCTATAATTCTTAAGTGTCATCTAAATTATTATTATCTGAAATCAAACTGCCAGAATAATTTTGTCTTTACAAATTGTAAAGATATGCAAGAAGCATGCTACAGATAAAATACTTCTCATAACAGCTTATTATGATTTAAAAACACCAAGTACCGCTGGACGTGGTGGTTCGTGCCTGCAATTCCACCACTTTGGGAGGCTGGGGGCCAGATCATGAGGTCAGAAGATCAAGACCATCCTGGCTAACACGGTGAAACCCCATCTCTACTAAAAATACAAAAAATTAGCCAGGCATGGTGGCATGTGCCTGTATTCCCAGCTACTTGGGACTCAAAAAAGACAAAAAAACAAATAAAAAACCACCACGTATTTTATCCATTGACTCCTCAATGAGGTGCCCAAATTTTTTGAACAAAGCATTCATCAACTTTAACTAATTAAAATTGATTCTTAGTTTAATCATTCAGGCAAGTGGTTCTCACCTCTAAACCACACCTCTTGTTTTAACCTATAAGGACAAAACGCCAATCCACACCCATTATTAATGGCACACAATCCTCATTCATTCCAATGCCATTTAAAATGTCTACAATGTGCTTAGTTTAGCATCTTACAATAAGAAAACTATGTACATGTCCAAACTGTAGTGACGTACACAGAGAATGCAGTTAAAAACTCTACCTGTGATACATGAAAGCTTCAGGGGGCTATATATAGTCAACAGTAGTTAACTATTACAAAAGAACCAAAGAATTGGACCTTGAAAGGAAATATTCTACCTGGAGATTAAAACAAACCACTTAGGAATGAACTATACCAAACGTTAAGGATAAGCAGTCTTTCTGCGGTAATAAAACTATTATTTTGAAAGGACAAAAGATCATTTTACCCCGTTTAACTAATATGTGTGACAACATTCCAATGTAACAGCAACCAATTATAATTAAAGAAAAATAAAACTGAAATTCATTAAGATGGAATACATCTGGACTTGGGTTACAGTTAAGGCACAAATAATCCCTCTGAAGGACTAAAATAAGATACAGTTCTAAAATTATGATTTTCTTATTGTATGTGTATGGATAGGGACAGGGAATGGTAGAATCACAGACAAACTCTCCACTCCTTCAGCAAAAATCAAAACTGTGCCATTTGTAGAGATGGGGTCTTGCTAAGTTGCTCAGGCTGGTCTTTAACTCTTGGGCTCAAGCAATCCTCCCACCTCAGCCTCCCAAAGTGCTGGGATTATAGGCATGAGCCACCAAAGCTGGCAATTTTAAAAAATATTTTCTGCAGTACTCTCAGCTTTTTGAAAATTTGTCAGATTTGGATATTTGGATCAATGACTAATTCTGGATGAACAAGGTAATTATCCAGCTAAAATCCCATTCAAGATACCATAGTGATTCCCTGATTAAACCAAATCTGGGAGTACAGAACAACTGCCAATTGTCCAAGCTTAGTTGTATGGTATGGCCATAAAATCTCTGTGCAGACACCTATCCAGAGAAAGGCAGGAAAATTCCCTTTCTCCTGAGAGGTTTCAGAAGGGAAAGAAACTATAATCAATTTAATCTGGAAGGAAAAAAAAAGATGACGCTCCGGAATTCTAGTCACAGAAATCACAGTTATACCCCAAAATAATTTATTTCATTAGTTTCAAACAATAAGGAATAGTTAAAAGGTCTTTATTATCTTACAAATTACTTGATACTCATTTTGTCTACTGCAAAGATAAATCTATATTTAGTTGTTTGTTGAAAAAAAAAATTGGCAGGGTGTGGTGGCTCACACCTGTCATCCCAGTATTTCAGGATGTCAAGGCAGGAGGATCACTTGAGGGACCAGCCTGAGCAACACAGGGAGACCTTGTCTCTATTATTAGAAAATAAATTAAAAAGAAAAGAAAAAAAGAAGTTAATCAAACCTTTCATGTTAGCCCGCCTATGAGTAACATTTTCTTTTTTCTTCCTCACTGGAAACTCAACCTGTCCCTCTACTTTCCCCCCCTTTTGGAGAATACACTGCAGAGTCACAGTAACAATCACACTGCTTTAAAAATAAAGCAAACATACACATTTTAGAATACAGAAGACAAAACAATTAACTGCAAACATCCAATTTTTCTTTCTTTTTTATTTTAAAAATGGGGTTTCACCATGATGGCCAGGCTGGTCTCCTGACCTCAGGTGATCCACCCATCTCGGACTCCCAAAGTGCTAGGATTACAGGCATGAGCCACTGCACCCGGCCAAACACCCAATTTCTTTAACTAGTTGAAGATACTTCTTAACCTCAGCTTAAGGTTTTACTCAAATATTATACATTTTTAAATGATTTATGGTAAGAAAACTTTATTACCCTTAAACGTGAGCTCTAGAGCAATGAATTATCAAATGGAAATAGAAATAGGGATGTATGATGTAGCTGTAAAACTAGCCATGAAGCAAGTAGCTTCTAACCAAGAAATAAATCAACATAGGCCAGGCACGGTGGTTCATGTCTGTAATCCCAGCACTTGGGGAGGCTGAGGTGGGTGGATTACAAGGTCAGGAGCTTGAGACCAGCCTGACAACATGGTGAAACCACATCTCTACTAAAAATACAAAAATTAGCCAGGTGTGGTGGTGTGCACCAGCTACTTGGGAGGCTGAGGCAGGAGAACACTTGAACCCAGGATGCAGAGGTTGCAGTGAGCCGAGGTGGGGCCACTGCACTCCAGCCTGGGCAACAAGACTGAAACTGCCAAGACAGACACTACAGACATGACAGGAAGGAAGGGAGGGAGGGAGGGAGGGAGGGAGGGAGGGAGGGAGGGAGGGAAGAATAGCATGTTTTCAAGTAATTCTGAATTAAGGTACTTAGAAGTCACTACCCTTTTCAGTAGGCCCCTTAATGGTCAGCCTGAGCAACAGAGTGAGATTCCACCTCAAAAAAAAAGAAAGGAAAGGAAAGGAGAAAGGAGAAAGGAAAGGAAAGGAAAGAAACAAAGAAATCAGCAATACCCGAAATGCTGAACTAAGAAGTGAATGCAATTTCCCTTCCTGTTACTTAATATTAATTGACTACTAGCAACTTCATTTCCTTGATCAAAATTATTAAGTTTCCACAAAACTCAAACAAGGTTAGGATCAGAAAGCAAAAATGAATCAATTAGCATGTGCATGATTAACCTTAACAAAACTAACAAAAAACGACATCATGGATAGAGCTGACATTACATTTTGTCCTCTTTTAGATTACGAAAGTCTCAACTCAGATCTTGAATATGAAATGTGTTCATTTGTGTAATTTAATGTTTTGACTATTCTGGGAAACAGAACAAGTTAATAGTATAAAGAAGGCAATTCCAACTATACAAAATCATCATACACATACAAGTTGAGTACCCCTTATCTGAAATGCTTGGGACAAGAAATGTTTTTGATTTTGGAATGTTTCCATTACACTGTCAGACAAGAAACATTTCCTTTTTGAGTAACATGTCAGTATTGAAAAAATTTTGGATCTTAGATTTTCAGATTTGGGATACTCAACCTCAGTAGCTGATTTTTCTTTGTTTTGGGACGGAGTCTCGCTCTGTCACCCAGGCTGGAGAGCAGTGGCACGAACTCAGCTCACTGCAACCTCTGCTTCCTGGGTTCAAGTGATTCTCCTGCCTCAGCCTCCCAAATAGCAGGGATTACAGGTGCATGCCACCATGCCTAGCTAACTTTTTTTTTTTTTTTTTTTTTGAGACAGTCCTGCTGTCACCCAGGCTGGAGTGCAATGGTGAGATCTCGGCTCACTGCAACCTCCACCTCCCAGGTTTAAGGAATTCTCCTGCCTCAGCCTCCCAAGTAGCTGGGATTACAGGCATGTGCCATCACATCCAGCTAGTTTTTTGTATTTTTGTAGATATGGGGTTTCATCATGTTGGCCAGGCTGGTCTTGAACTCCTGACCTCAGGTGATCTACCCACTTCGGCCTCCCAAAGTGTTGGGATTACAGGCATGAGCCACTGCACCCAGCCTTTGAAGTCTTAAGCCTAGTATATATATATGCTAACAGAACTGGACAAGATTACCCAGGGAAACTGATATAACATGAAAAGGGAACTCAAGGAACAACATCTGAGAAACAGAGAATGACCCAGAAGGGTTATAATGAGGGTATAGGATATAAGAGTGGGAACAGTCAAAGAAATTCAAACTAAGGAATTTACAGAAACAGTGTTCAAGTCTGGTAAATCTTAACCAAAGGTAAGACATTTTCAACTTTTTAAGTCATCTCTTTTTCTCTAACCCAATGTCACCGTCCTAGCTCTAGTAGTATTATCTTATGAACATTTACACAGTTGCTTTTCAACTGACCTCTTTTGCCATTACTCAGGCTTCACATTATGTCTTCTACAACCTGGCTAACTATTCCTTCTCTTTAAAAATAGAATCTGAAGCCGGATGCGGTGGCTCACGCCTGTAATCCCAGCACTTTGGGAGGCTGAGGCGGGTGGATCACGAGGTCAAGAGATCGAGACCATCCTGGTCAACATGGTGAAACCCCGTCTCTACTCAAAATACAAAAAATTAGCTGGGCATGGT